GTCGGATTGATGGAATTTGATTGGTTAATTTGCAGGATTTGAAGGAGAGTATTGTGAAGGGATTAGGGTTTCCGGCGGAGGATTTGAAGGTGTCGGGGTTCGATTTGAGGGACGCGCAGGTGGGGCATTCGGTGGCGTACGAGTTCGACGTGGAGGTGGACAACAAGGTGCTTCCTTTCAAGCTCTTGGAGGACGTGGACCGCTGGGATTACGTCGATTTGCCCATTTTTCGGGTCGAGGACGAAAATGGGTTGGTCCAGAAAGGCAAATCGGGTACTGGGTTGCCGCCGGTTTTGGCTCCGTTTCAACTGGCTGGGCCCATGGAGCTCTGGATTCAGGACGCCAAAGACATGAGGATCTCGCTGCCTGTAAGTACTGGGGCCCATTGCGCTATTAGCCTATAATTAGTGTTTGATTATTTAGCTCAAGTTTTGATTTTGGTAGATGTAGATGAACTAGACTCGCCAAATTTGTTAATCAAAATGATGTTTCAGTATATGTATGTGATAATCTTATTGAAATTCAAGGTGGGCTCAAATTTGAATAATTTAAAAACTTTTACATTATTTAATTAACAAAATTCGGTTAATTGACAATTGCAATAAGCTCAAATCAGGATTCCGATTGAGTTAATTTACAGAATGTCTATTTCGGTGTTACATGCGCATATCAAATTTGCATTTTGTGAGTTGAGTTGATGAGATTTGTAATTTGGTCTTAATTTTAGATACATATGATTGACTGGTTTAGGATTGAAATTTTGAACTTTGGAAACTGATTTGTTCAATGTTATGCAGCATGATGTGGATGCTGGTGTGTTGAAGAAGGTGATGTTGGCAGAAGGCGCTGTGGTCACAGTGAAGGGTGCAAGGTCTGTGAGTCTGCGCCACCCTCTTCAGCTCCCATTGCCATTAAACCGAACCAACAATGGGTTTGCTTCTGGTCTTGTGACCTTGGCTGAATGGCTGCGCCATGCTTCTCGAACCCAAACATCTCCATTGCTCTCTCTCCGCATTGTTGGTCCTACTTCCCTTGCATCACCTTCACCAACTTCTTCCTCCATGAACAACAAGCTCAAGCTTAAGCGCCTTGCCCCAGGCCTTGTGGAGTTGTCCTCACCATCAAACACCAAACCCATTTCTGTTGAGCTGCAAAATCAAGAGACCACTGCCATTTTAACCCCTAGCTACTTCACCACAGTTTGGCCTCTTGCTTCCATCAACGGCTCAAACCCGAATTTGCTGGGTTTTGAGGCACTGCTTTCGTCTGTGTTGGGTCCTAAGGCCAATAAAAAAGGCTCCTTCAAGTTGTTGAAGGCAGATGTGTCTGCACAAACGTTTTTGAAGATTGGGTTTGGGGTGGAGAAGAAGCTGAAAGAAGGAGATGGTTTTGATTTGAAAGGTTTTCCAGAGTGGAGGACAAAGCCAGAGACTGTAAGGATGCATTTTGAGGTGCTGGCTAAGGTTGATGGTGATAAAATCGTGCCAGAGAGAGTGGTTCCAATTATCCCTGTGGTTCTGGAGGACACTGTGGCACCTAATGAGGTTTTGGGGAATGTCAGCATGTCCACAGTCCCCATTGTTTACCCTCCGGCGAACCCCTTGACCTTGTAAAGTTTTTTGGTTGGGGTTACATATAGAAAGCCAGAAATTGTAAAGACGAGACGGCTTTTTCTTCTTTTTTTCTTAAAACATGATGAGTTAGATGCGGTCTAATGCTGTAAAGATTTAAGAAATGGAGTGACTTGAGGGTTTAAATTATGTTGTTCTCTCTGGTTGTGGATCATTTCACCCCTCTTTGGTAATTTTAAGGGTGCCTTAGACGGAGAGAAGCCCTAGCTTTGTTTTTGTTATGTACGCGATGAAAATGAAATGAAGACTTGATTGCATATATTATTTACACAGCCTATATGTAGCAGAAGTTCAAATTTCGTCAGGGGCAGTGATGATTAAAATTGACAATTTAATCCAAGTAGATTCTGAGTACAACAGCAACTGCTGAATATAAATCCCTGTAAGAAACATGGGAAATTTACTTCTTGATGAAAGAAACCCCCTTCTGGATGCTTGCTGCTAACTCCCTTTTCGCCTTCTCTAAACCAATCCTGCTCATAAACCAATAAGATTTATCAAGAAAGGAACCAACCCTGTTCATAAACCGTTCTATTTTACAGCAACAAAATTGTGGGAGTGTTTGTATAGCAAAGCACTACATACCTCTCATACTCATTCAGAGGCCCAAGTTGGTAGATTTCATCAGCTCCATTTCGACCAAGCCGTACCTTGGTTGCGAAGAAAGGAAGTTCGGTAACCTGCCATAAAGATTGAGCATTTTGCTTGGTCATTAGAAGTTCAGAACTTGATTTTTTAAGGCAAAGAACACCAGTACCTCAGAAGCAACAAAAGCACATTCAACAACGCCAGCATCTCCTCTCAAGCCACGAAGGCATGCATCCGCAAACTTCACAGCTGCATATGCCTGCAGATATTTTGTAGTTACTTCTAATGCTTGTATTATCCCGAACAAACTCAGTGTATATGATTAAGCGAATTGAAATGGCTAACCATTGACAATGTTGCGGAGCCAGCCCCAGCTTTTGCCTGCAAAATTGTGAACAAATAACTTAATGGAATTGTGGTTTTTGTTGAAAAATAAACACACAAAAACAACCCTTGGGCTGAAATGCTGGACCGATGAGACGATTGATTGAGTACAGATGTAGCAGATGAGTACACGGTGAGAGAATCTAGTCCCCTGCACACATAAATGCATCCTAAGATTAAAATTTAAGTGGCATTACCTCAACAACTTCTGTTCCACCATTTTGAATGCGGTTTGTCAGATATTCTGTTTCTTCTTTGGAGAAGGAGCAAGGAGGCTTGACCTGTAAAGACAGACACCTTCTTGAGAATCTTTCCCACTTGTACTGCAGACAGTTTACTGTTTGAAGGAAACATAAGAAACATCTAAAGAAGCTGAAACTTGTATAAATCTATGTAAGACCTGTGACAGAAGTGGCAAAATGGTCACTCCTGCATGACCACCAACGACTGGAACATCAACCTCCCTAGGATCGAGTCCCAGAACTTCGGCCTACGACAAAATTATGAGATTGGAAAATGAGAACCATGAACATCAATGATAGTAAGTACACACAAACTTCATTGACTAATACTTACAATGAAAGTATTTGCTCTCACAACATCAAGCATCGTAACTCCTAGAAGTCGCTTTGGGTCATAAGTTCCGGCCTTCTTGAAAACCTCAGCTGCTATAGGAACTGTAGAGTTCACTGGATTACTGATCAAGTTGACAATTGCCTTAGGGCAGGCCTTCGCAATTCCCTCACAGAGGGTCCTGACAATTCCGGCATTGATGTTGAAAAGATCATCCCTTGTCATTCCTGGCTTCCTTGGAACACCGGCAGGTATGATCACAAGGTCTATGCCTGCGAGAGCACTCTCAAGCTGTGGCTGGCCTAAGAAACCCCTCACCTAAATTCCAAGTACATGATATTTACTTGGTAATTAGACAATGGTGGCAGAATGAGGCCCTAAGTTGAGCACTTAATCAAAAACTTAACTTCAAGACTTGTATATCAGCCGTTAGATCAGATATGGATGACTAAGATGAATCTCATCCACTTAATTAAACTGTACATCTTATCCGTTCATATCTAATCTAACAGTTCAGATGCAAGTTCCATATCTTACAAACATCAACAGAAGAACTTAAGCCACAGTGCAATATGGAAATGTAACGACATTTTTATCAAAAATAGATTGAAAGCTAAAGTTGATGAAGTGTGAATTACCACAGCACCAGTGTCCATGTGACTAATGTCAGCTGTGACACCCGGGGCATTAACAACATCATAGAGATGAAGAACTGAAACCAGTGGGTTCATTTTCATGAGCATTGCAAGAGGTTGGCCAATGCCTCCGGCAGCACCCAAAATCGCCACTTTAAAACCCGGTGCCCCGCCTTTGGCTCTGCAATCAGCTCTTCTCAAAGCAGAACCATCCACCATCTATTTTGCAGCACACAATCCAGACATCAATACATATATTGTTTAGCAGCATCAATCTCAACTTAACAACAAATTGAACGTTCCTGATTGATAATTCTAAGTTAAACAACTTTGTTTATGTATCTAATGCAACAGAAAATAATTAAGTTAAACCAAGTAGAAAAGAAAATGAAGGCATGGCATGCATTTGTATGAAGCCAAAGGCACCATCAACTTTGTAGCAAGCAAACAGAGAAACCCAAGAGAGAAAACCTGGAGATTTGGTGGAAACAGATGAGCTGAGATCCTTGCAATGCGTCCATTAGCTTCCACACTTGGCTCCATTATCTCTCTGTTTTCTCAGACGAAGGGAGAGTGAGAGGTTTAAGTGTATAGCTATAAACAAGCTTAGCCTATGCCTTGCATGCCATGGACAATAAATAATTAAATAAATCCAAAGAATTCCATTTAGGAAAAAAAAAAAAACAAAGAGATAATTTTGAAGGAATGATACATAATTTTTTTCCATATTTCAATTGTGTGGAAACTAATTATTTTGAATTCTTATCCTATCCCATTTCTCAATTGTGGTTCTCACAATTTTTAAGTAAGAAACCTACACCTGTCTTAGTTCGACGCAGACTTTGTTATAGTGACGTGGCCCCATTCCTAGATGTGGCCCACCAATTTTGTTCATCACTATATTTTCTTGGATAAATAGCCAAACCAGAAAAAGGATTTGCAGGAAAAAAATTCTGGGCCACCCAAGGGCCTATAGTAGCCCAAAATTACTGAGTTAGGAGACTGGAAAAGTAAGGCCCATTGGACTCGAGAATTCTACCAATTCTCATACACCATACAAGATTGGAAAATATAGGTAAAATTAGGGGTGGCATTTTGGACCGAAAAACCGAAAAACCGCAAAAACCAACCGATAATTTACCGAAATAAAACCGCAATCGCGGTAAACCGAACCGAATTTGCGGTATTAAGAACCGAACCGCATTTGCGGTTGCGGTTGCGGTATTTGAAAATCAAATACCGCGGTTACCGCAAACCGCAAAGTATAGCCGCACGGCTATACTCTACAGCCTTATTTCCATTTAATTTTCTGTAGCCTTATCTCTAGCCGTTAGATGCAATTGCGATCTCACTCTTACTGATTCTCATTCGACTCTCTCTCTCTCTCTCTCTCAACTCTGAAAATACGATTCTCTCTCACAAACCCGAATCAAACCCATCTCCACTCTCTCTTTCTCTCGATCTCAATTCTCTCTTCTCTCTCAACTAAACCTCCAGCACGCTCACTCAACTCAAGCTCTCTCTCTGTCTCTCTCTGTGTCTCAAGCTCAACAGCCGCTCTCAGCCGATAGGGTGTTCCTAGGCCGAAACCCGTCGCCCACCACTGTCAACAGCCACTCTCAAACCTGTCGGCCACCACTATAACCAATTTTGGAGGTAAATTATGGTGTTTCTAATTTCTGAAATCAATTGTTTCAAAGATAGGATTTTAGGTCTTAATTGGGAATTTGTAATGTTAAATTTGATGGGATTTTTAGGTCAGAGAAACCAAACCTATAATGGCAATCGAAATCAAAACCCTTGAACTGAGTTTGTTGATGGGATTTTAGTGGCTATAGAGTTTAGACATTCATCATTTTATTTTTATACCTACAGACAGAACCTATCTCACTAATGGAAAAATAAGTAGTCTTTGGATCCGACTCATTCTCATTTTCTGCTTATATATATGAGGATGTATACCTTTTTATTAATCTTTTGTGTACTGATTGAATTATAATGTTCTTTCCTGCCCCGAAATCCATTTCAAAAGGATACCTTTTTATTAATGTTTGTCTGATGCTCTGAAATGGTTTATTGTTTATCTTACTGGTTAAATGGTTTCCATTAAGACAAACCGGTTATTGATTTTTGCAGGGATTGTTGCTGAAGTGAAACTGTTTGGAGATTTCTGTTTTAAGCTTGGAGCATTTGGTTTTGCAGAGGTAAGTTCTGTATTTTTGTTTTTGGTTTCAGCTTGGTTTTGAATCTGTTATCTTAATTCTGGAATCTGTTAATGTTAATTCTGGGATATGTTAATGTTGTTTTGAATCTGTTTTGAATCTGTGAATCTGTTTTGAATCTGTTTTGAATCTGTGAATCTGTTTTGAATCTGTTTTGAATCTGTGAATCTGTTTTGAATCTGTTTTGAATCTGTGAATCTGTTTTGAATCTGTTTTGAATCTGTGAATCTGTTTTGAATCTGTTTTGAATCTGTGAATCTGTTTTGAATCTGTTTTGAATCTGTGAATCTGTTTTGAATATGTGAATCTGTTTTGAATATGTTAATGTTATTAATATTCTTTTATGTTGTTGCTTTTGTGTTGTGTTGTGTTATAGATGGAGTCTAGCCACTCTAACACACCTAATGCCTCTAATCCCCAAACACAAACCGATACACCCGAAACACAATCTCCAACTCAAACACAAAATCCCACAAGTGAGGGCCTTATGGTGGGAGATAGGAGGAAAGCCCCAAAGTCGATTGTGTGGTTACATTGCACAAAACAAATAAAGAAGGATGGTAATGGGGTAGAGAAGGTTATAGGGGTTTGCAATTATTGCAAATTGGAGATGCCGGCGGACCCTAGAAAAAATGG